GAGAGAGAGAGAGAGAGAGAGAGAGAGAGAGAGAGAGAGAGGATGTGGGCTAGTGGGGATTTAAATAGAAATATTTGAATCAAGCACCACCATCATCTGTGAGTGAGTTGGCTCATCGATTTAAACATGTTGATATCTTAAAATGATAAATGGGTTGAAGGATTAATTCTGAACAAATTTTAATAATCCAAATTAATCCATTTACAAGCCCAAAACCAAATCACTGGCATTTTCACACGATTTTAAATACATGCCAATTTTCTAGCCTATTACTGTGTGGAGGTCGTCTTAATAAGCTAACACCGCAGACGTCTGTCACGCTTGGTTTATGGAAGTTTTCTCACCCCATCTATAGTGTTGCTACAGCTAAGAAATCTATGGGATTCCACACGGTCTGTTAGTTGCATTTTAAATTGACGTTGAGTGAGAATTTGGCAGCATTTTCTTGAGCATTTAGATGATGAAGGTGACTGTGCTGGGCTTCTCCAATGCTATCTGTCCTTCGTCTTCTAAACACCTGAATGAGTTGGGTGCTTGTCTGTGCTTATCTGACAGGTGAAGGAGCAGAGGTGCATGGAGGTTCCATTAATTGCAGGTGTAACCACCTGCGAGCCACCAGGCTGGCCACCCACCTGGTCTGACTGTCCCCAAAGAAAAGTCTCTTATCTGCTATGTGACTTATTCTCATTAAGACCACGTCTTCGTGTTAACCCTGTCGTGACAAATATAAGTTCTTTATGGATGGAAATGTGCAGACTGCAGACATGCTGGGCAGATATCTGGCCCTTTGGCCCCGCTCTACCCAGAGTGACCGACCGAGGTGTCTTTCGGTCTAAGGTCACCCACCTGTCCCCCGGGACAGTTCTCACGTGTTGGCTAGTTGAAGTACCATGCAGGACAATGAATTAAAATGTGACTTTTGGCCAGACTGGAGGGAAGAGAGGTTTCTAATACTTCCTGTGACACATACTGTCAATTCTGAACTCTCATGTGCTGGGTCCCTGCTGCTCACGACCAAATCTCCTCCCGTGTGTCCAGCTCCAGCTAACGTGCCAACATTTGGCCTATTTTTGGGGGTGTGGTCATTAAACAAGCAAAAGCTCTGACAAGGCTAAGACCCAACACTAACCCCGCCAGGCAGGCTCACAAGGACACAGATAATAGAGAGGGCCGCTCGTGGGGTCCCTGACGGAACACAGCCTTGCTGGTTGGAAGTGAGAGCTGATCTCATTCGAGCCATCCCCTCTGCTAGACGGCATGTCACTGTGACAAAGAAAAGGACAGGGAGATGTGTCGCCCTCGAAGGAAAGAGCATGGCAGTTGCCCTGACTCGGGCCACAGTCCCAGCCCCCACTGTGCCTTCCCTGGGGGTGCTGCTGCCACGGTGACAGTGCCTGTCTGGTGGGGTGCAGGCCCGTCCTGAACTGGGCACTGGACTCCCAGCACCTCGCAGACGCCATATTAGACTCAATCTGATCTATGTGGTGGCTGTAGGCGTGAGTTTTATGGTCTGATGAGGCGAGATAGGTCTAGTGGGTGAGAGCAAGCCCCCGGGTCAGGGTGACTTGCGACAAGGACTTATAACTAAGTGCTAGCAGCTCAGTAACAGCACAGCTGACAGAATGACAGCATTTACTAGTCACAGGTCAACCATGGACTGTGGGAGAAATGAGGCGCTTGAAACATGTGACAGCCACCGCGGGGCGGACGCTGGGCTGGGCTGTGGCTGCAGAGACGCGCTGGCCTGGGGCCTCGGCACGGCCACGTCCGAGCCAGCGGCATCTGAGGGTGACACCGCTTCTGCACTTGCTCAGATCGGTTTTGTATTTTGTGTCATAGACACACAAGCCCGGGGACGAGGACCTCAGAGGGCCTGTGCTATTTCCAGGGCCGAGAGGAGAGGCCCCTTGGTCGGGACCCCGTGGGAATCTGCCCTTTCTTCCAGGGGTCACGGCACACAGGTGACAAGAGTGTCAGGAAAAGGAGTGTGGAGTTGGGATGAAATCACTTATTTAGCATGTGGACGTGTGAATTGGGCTTAATGCAGAACAAGTTGGCAAAAGAAAAGGTGTTTCAGGTAGAAAACGGGGTGGGCGAGGGGTTGCGAGGCACCGTCAGAGCTTATTCAGGACATGTGCTTGAAAAAGAGATTTAGGGGAAGGCAGGAGTGGCCAGGAAAGGGGGGGGGTGCTGCCCCTGCTCCCGCTGAACGGGGAGCTGCTGCAAGGGCCCCGGGGGGGCACGTGGGACATGCCGCCCGGGCCACCCCGTGCGTCTGCTCCTGTGCCACAGCTCTGTCCGCTGTGGGCTGCCTTGAACGCTGATTGAGAGCAGGCTCACGAGTGGGGCAGAGGCCTCCTGCTAACCACACAGGACCCAACTGTCCCTGAGGCTCCTGGGCGCGCATGGTGGAGCCCGCCACGGTGAGGACACAAGCAGACCTGCCCGCCCTTTGGGCGATGGGCACGGCTGGGCCCACCTGACTGCTGCCCTCTGTGCTTTCCCTCAGCTGAAGCCAACGCCATCAGCGAGAACACGGACAAGCTGCACCTGAGCCCGCCCATCACCGTCGTCACCGGGCACGTGGGCCAGGGTGCAGAGCAGAGGCCGGGCGTGTGCGAGCGCTCCTGTGAGGAGCTGGGCAGCATGGTCAGTGAGCTGTCAGGGCTGCGTGTCATCGTCAACCAGCTGCATGACAACCTGAAGAAAGTGGTGGGTGCCCGGGCGAGGCGGGCAGGTCTTCGGAAAGGTTTGGTCAAGGCGCAGGGTGGTTAGAGGACAGCTGGGTACGCAGAGGAGGGGTTTGGAGCGGCAGATGTGGTCTTGGCGACGCAGTCTCCAAAATGGGTTCTCAGCCTGGGGACATTCATCTTCGCAGTAGATAAGGATCATACGCACAGAGGGAGCCGCTTTTATCTAAATTCTAGAAGCTGAAGTGTGGTGAGGGAGGGCCTGTCCCTAAAGCTGCGATGTGACCCAGCCGTGTGTGATTTCATCTTCACAGCACATCAAGGCAGCGAGAACAGCGTCTCATGCTGTAGAGCCTGTGACTGAAAGTTTAGAGAGAGGCTTCTGACAGTAGGGACGTCCCCTAGCTGTGTTGTTCTGCGGCCTCCAGGTGGTGGCCTCCTGCCCAGTAGGAAGTGACTGGTGGCCCCCGGGGACAGGAGGGAGCAGTGAGGCTGTGGGGAAGAGCAGCGGAGGGGAGGGGCCCCCAGTCTGGGCTCTCCTGTCCTTGAGACTTCGCAGGAGCTGCTCCCCAGACCCTGTCCCTGGCCGTCCCCACCCTCTGCTCTGCAGCAAAGGGACCCTGTCCCTACTGTGACTATGCAGAACGGGGTGGACGAGCAGAACTCCCCTTCCGTCGGTGGCTGAGGGAATGTGCACAGCACGACCAGCGCGCTGGCCGGGGAAACTCCCGAGGTGCAGTGCGCCTTCTGGAATCTTCCACCGTGTGCTGGGCGCTGAGGCAGGGATGGGGGCAGGCGTCAGGGCGGTGCTGTTCGGTGCCCAGTGCTCACTGCCTCCTGTGGGGTGCCCGTGTCTGCGGGGGTTGGGGGGTGACCTTCACACGGGACGGAAGCTTCCTCCTGACAGTCACATCAGGTGGCGTGGCCCCCACGGGGCTGCCCGTCCTGGCTGGCGTGCCCATGACGGTCTCCGGCTGCCCTGCAGCCAGCGCAGGACAGCGCGATGGGAGAGACAGGCGACCTCAGGCCCCCAGCTGTTCACCCTCAGACTGAGATGAGCTTCGGGAGAGTTTCCTGAACCTGGACTCGGGGCTGAACTTGTGAGCTCCCTGCAGTTGCACAGAAAAGCGGGAGGGTGTGTTTCTGAGCGGTTTGCACAAGACGGTCCGTATCTTTCACCCGATTCTCAGAGGGCCTGTTACCCCCAAATCAGAAGCCACCATTAAGGGAAATGTACCCACTTAACATGAGCAGAAGCGGGGAGCTGAGAGATAGGACGTGAACAGCACACGTGTTTAGGGGGTGATCCCTGTAATTTTCAAGTATTTGATTTTTTTAAACTTTGCACCTTTTCCCCTCCAAACACCAAGAATCATGTCTGTGCCATTTTTCAACGGGGATGAATTCATGAATGGACGTTTAGTTTCAGCTGCAGTTGGCTGGTGGGGGCGGGGGTATCCCCCCGTCCCTTCTCCCTGCCACCCTGCCCACCGGCCATCACCAGGTGGCCCCGTCTGCTGGCGCACGATCCCTCAGGGACGGGGCGCATTGAGCAGACAGGCGGAGGCAGCGTCCAGAGCACGTGTGGATGAGGTGTTAGGGCTGAGTGGAAGGAGGGACGGCTTTTCATCGCAAACATGGTGACCGGGTGCGTCGTGTTCTTGTCTGAGCTTAAACCCTCTCTCTACTTTCCAGTCGAATGATAACCAGTTTCTGTGGGAGCTCATCGGCGGCCCCCCGAAGACAAGGAACATGTCAGCTTGCTGGCAGGATGGCCGGTTCTTTGCAGAAAATGAAACCTGGGTGGTGGACAGCTGCACGAAGTGCACCTGCAAGGTGAGGCCTCAGCTGGCCTGCTCTCTGCAGCCTGTCACTGTCCCTCAGCCGCCACGGAGCTCCAGCACGTCGCGGTTGCCGGGCGACCGTCCTGTCCGTGGCTGACCTTCAGGAATGTAGGGAAACCCCAGTGTTGGAGCCTCACTGCTTTGTACATACAGAAACCCACCCCCAGGGAGGCGAAGTGACACGGCCGCTGTCACCCCGGTGCTCGCAGACAGCTGGGACGGAGCTGGCCAGGCGTCCCTCTAGTTTGTGTTTAGTTCCATTCAGTGCTGTGAGGGACGTGAGGCTCAGCAGAGACCTGGGGACGGCATGTCATTGCCCATCACACGGCTGATGGGTCACTTGTTTCTTCTCTGTATTTCCTGTCGCTCGGTCTCCATGGATGGTGGCCTCAGACATCAGACGACACCAGCTGACCCTGGCCGTCCCTTCCTCAGAAGGCCTCTGTTGTGTCCTCATTGATCAGTGGTGGGGGAAGGGAGACAGGACGCACAGGGCCCGCTCTGGGCGCTAAGGGGCGAGGTGGGCAGAGCCTGCCGGGGTGCAGGGAGCCGTGGGCTGCACGCCACTGTGGACATTCGGCGACCTTTCCTATCCAGCCTGCTGCAAGCTTTATTTTTTAAAACGAGTGTTCCATGAATGCCTTTCTTGTCTTATAGAAATTTAAAACTGTTTGCCACCAAATCTCCTGCCCGCCCGTGACCTGCGCCAACCCGTCCGTGGTGGAGGGTGAATGCTGTCCCTCCTGCTTCCGCTGTAAGTGCCGCCACCCCGGCGTCCCCAGCATCCCTGCCACTGAGTGCGTGTTGGTTCCACCTTCCTTGTGTCGTCAGACAGGCTCAGACCAGTGACAGCAAGTGGGGAGGGCAGGAGGGTGCTGGACTCCGCGTTGTCCATGCACGGCTCGCAGGGACCCACCCAGAAGCTCCGGCCGCCTGGGATTCAGGGACTGGGAGCCTCGGGTCGGCCCGTCTCCTCTCGATGAGGAAACCGAGCCCCGGGGGCCACTGGGGCACAGACAGCCCTGACGTTCGTCCCAAGAGAATACCGACCCGTGAGTCGGGCCCAGCTGGGCTCCGGTGTTGGGGGCATGCGTGAGCCTGGCACGCACACCCTTTGGAGGAACGATTATGCAAAACCAAACGGGAGCCAGAGACCATCACCCAGATGACGCGTTCTCGTCCCAGAGATGCGCCCCTGGGACCGGACACTGACAGGCAGGGCAGGACACGTGGGCGCAGCCTCAGGGCCCCACGGGAAAGGGGCTCCCTGCACCCTGAAGGCCACCCGACCCGGGAGCCTCGCCCAGGGCGCCCGCACTGCAGACGCCTGCCCCCGGCAGTGCTCCTGACCCCCAGGGGCCCCCGAGGACCTGCCGCTGAGAGGACGCCTCAGGCTGCAACCGTCACCCAGGGCCCCTTAGATCCCAGGGCGGTGACACGGCACCGAGGCGGAGAGGGTCGGGCAGGTCATCGGCCACACTTCTCTTCCTTCCTGCTTTTTCTGGGACGTTTAATCATTACGTTAGAGTAACAGCACTTTATACTGTCCAAACGTGACAGCACGGCGCCGGCGACTCCTACCAGGAGGGTCTCCTGCGTTAGCTTCCTGTCTTTTCTGCCGTGTAGGGACTGACTCAACCAACTGTGAAAACTTACTTGCAGGGAATTGCCTTTCTATGTAACTTGTCACAATTTAAATGATTCGAAACTAAGTTTAGTGACCTGTAATTCCAAGTAAAAATTGACGTTTCGCTACCATGTGTGTATCAGCAAGTGGAGGTTAAATGGAAACCTTGACAAGTCCAGTAAAACCTCGTGTAGACCTGACATGGCGCTCCCCACCCACACCTTCCCGACACCAGCACCGGGACGGCACCGTGGCACCCGGGGCCGGTCACATGCGCCCCCGCTGAGGCCAAGCCTGCCTCCCGCGCGGGAACCTCCTGGGGGCAGCCCCTGAGCTCCGACCCGGGCGTGGACGTTGGGTGACTCCTGGCGTCTGCCCTCAGGCGCAGTGCCCACCGCCAGGGCGTCTCCTCCTTCTGATGTTGACACCCACTGTTCCAAAGGCAGGGGTCCTAGGGTGCCGCGTGGGTCCATCCTGCGCCTGTCACTGGTGGAGTCTTGACGGGGCTTTTGTGTCCCCCTCCGCAGCAGAGGACAGTGAGGAAGGCTGGTCCCCATGGGCAGAGTGGACGGAGTGCTCTGCCACCTGTGGGCCTGGCACCCAGCAGAGAGGGCGCTCCTGTGACGTCACCAGCAACACCTGCTTGGGGCCATCCATCCAGACACGGGCATGCAGCCTGGGAAAGTGTGACAACCGCAGTGAGTGTCCGAGGCCACTCGGCCATCCCCGTGCGGGTGGGTCCGCGTCGCCCGGGCCTCGGGATTCGGGTTTACGAGGGCGGGAGACTGCTGTCCTTTCTGGGAGGCAGCCGCCTGGTCCCAGGGCCCCGGCTGGTGCCCCCACACCCCGCCGGCCCAGCGGCTGACACCCCGTGCTTTTCCGTGTGCTAGTCCGGCAGAACGGCGGCTGGAGCCACTGGTCGCCGTGGTCGTCCTGCTCCGTGACCTGTGGAGGCGGCAACATCACACGGGTCCGGCTTTGCAACTCGCCGGTGCCCCAGATGGGGGGCAAGAGCTGCAAGGGCAGTGGCCGCGAGACCAGAGGCTGCCAGGGCATCCCCTGCCCGGGTGAGTGGGCCCAGGTATGGCCGGGGCGGGCACGTGTTGGCAGCTGGGCCGGAGCCGGCAGGCCCACTCACCTGTTCAATCCCACGAAGGCGCTGGCGGAGCCTGAGCCCAAGAAGTGGCCGGTCCCCTAGGCCGTGTCAGGCTGTGTCAGGGTGGACCGCCTGGCCTGGTCATGGCCCCGCCTGAGTCAGCTCAGCTCCACTAGGACCAACCGACAGTTAGGGGACTAGAGACCAGAGTCCTGGGGACCCTCTGGGCGCACCTGGGCTGTGGGGAGCAGTGCATGTCCCAGATGAGGTGTCTCAGGCGTCTCCCCGCCGTCCAGGTGAGCGAGTGCAGGTCTACAGAAAACACGTGGGGGCCCTTGCCTGGCCCTCTGTGGGGACCTGGGTCGTGGGCTGTGCTGAGGCTCGGAGAACAGGCGTGCGGGTGACCTCTGCCTCTTTGTACCCATGGCACTCATGACACCCATGATGAGTGACGGCCACTGAAAACGGAGCTCTCGGGTACGAGTGCCTCATGCACGTGACAGGTGCGCCTGCAGCCAGTGGCCCTGTCAGCGGCTCTCAGCCTCTGGACACACAGATGGTGTGACTTCTGGTCCCAGAGGTGAAAACAACCAGCTGGGGTTCCACGTGGACCTCTCCTCCGGGTCTCAGGTCGCAAAAGGGCTTTCTTACCTAACACTTTCCTGCCACGTTGGAGACCCACCCCACCTGCTTTCCCCCCCTCGGGCCCCCAGCGTGGTGCCACCCCCGCTTCACGGTCCCCTGCTCTCCCCTGCAGTTGACGGTCGCTGGAGCCCCTGGTCGCCGTGGTCTGCCTGCACGGTCACCTGTGCTGGAGGCATCCGGGAGCGGACGCGCGTCTGTAACAGCCCGGAGCCCCAGCACGGAGGGAAGGCCTGCGTGGGGGACGTCACGGAGCATCAGATGTGCAACCGGAGAAGCTGCCCCATCGGTGGGTGTGCAGGCGGCACGCGCGGCTGTGCCTTGGCCGTAACTGCTGGCTCTATTCTGATTGAAAGTACAAAATATACAGAAAACACAGAAAAGGAAAGTCAGGTCTGAGCACACAACGGTACCTGTGTTTCACATCTGTGCTATGTCCCACCAGCGTTTTCGCATAAAACAGACACGCAGCGCAGCGTGGGACACTGGACGTAACGGCGTTGGTTACGCCCACTGGCCAGTGTGTCCCGGGGATGGCAGCTTCGCGTGGCTGTGCAGTGTGACGGCACACGCGCGTCACCGGCTGAGCCTGGCTAGCTCCGCCTCGCTGCAACTGAAGCACGTGTCTGGCAGCACCCACGGGCGCCTGCCCTGCGGCCCCACCCTGCCCGCCTGGTGGCGGCTCCTGGCCGCGCTCCTGACCCCTGTGCCCCCCCCCCGCAGACGGCTGCCTGTCCAACCCCTGCTTCCCCGGAGCCCAGTGCAGCAGCTTCCCCGACGGGTCCTGGTCCTGCGGCTCCTGCCCGGTGGGCTTCCTGGGCAATGGCACCCACTGCGAGGACCTGGACGAGGTGGGTGCCACGCCCGGCAGAGGGCGCCCGAGGCTGCGGGTGGGGGCGGCGGCTCACCTCCACTTGTCCCCGCAGTGCGCCGTGGTCACCGACGTCTGCTTCTCGATCAGCAAGTCGGACCGCTGTGTCAACACCAACCCTGGGTTCCACTGCCTGCCGTGCCCGCCTCGCTACAAGGGCAGCCAGCCCTTTGGCATGGGCCTGGAGGCGGCCAGGACGGAAAAGCAGGTGAGCCGCCCTTGCTAAGCCTGTCAGGCTTCCAAACAGTCCAGCCAGAAACTGGGGAATGGAGGGTGGGGAGAGGAGGCCGGCAGGAGGCGCTTCCCGTCGTGCAGCTGGGGGCTGGGCCCCTGGGCCACCGCCAGTCCACACACGGGATGTAGGACAGATAACGAGCTGAATGTTCATGAGCAGGGCCCCTGAGGGCCGGGGTCAGCAGCGCCACACGGGCACCTGCAGGCTCGGACGCGTGTGGGCAGCTCTCAGGAGCCACTGAAGGGACCTCAGGCCGCTTCCCAAAGGGACGAAATCCAGAGCTTTTGGAGGCTGCCGCCTCCACAGCACCCCCGGGGGGACCTCCCGTGAGGGCCAGGGCCTCAGGGTGCGTCCTGACTTCCCTTCGTCCGTCCGCAGGTGTGTGAGCCTGAGAACCCATGCAAGGACGGGACCCACAGCTGCCACAAGCATGCAGACTGCATCTACCTGGGCCACTTCAGTGACCCCATGTACAAGTGCGAGTGCCAGACGGGCTACGCGGGTGACGGGCTCATCTGCGGGGAGGACTCGGACCTGGACGGCTGGCCCAACAAGAACCTCGTCTGTGCCACCAACGCCACGTACCACTGCATCAAGGTGAGGACACGGCAAGGCGGCCGTGCTGTGAGCACAGGGGTGCAGCCCCCCGCTGGGCAGGGCCACTCAGGGCCAGTGGCCGAGGGGAGGTGGTTTATTGGCGGAGCGTGGGAAATCCAGGCCGTTCCCAGCTACATCCTACCCTCCACTTGGCTTTCCTTTCCGGAGACGATACACACACGCGTGGGGGTGAGGGAGCCTGGGTGTGGCGTCACCTGGGCCACCAGCCAGCTTTCCCAAGGCTGACGGGTTTCTATCACCGGGGTGAGCCTTTCTCCATGAACCTCGTGTATTCCAGGGCTCACATGCAGTCACGTGCTGGGAATTGGGAGGGTGGGGGACTCCGCCACTGATATATGTCTGTTGACTGAACGCGCCGACAGCCTTGAGTCAGTGAGCGGGCGGGGCGACCTACACAGGCCGCGCGCTGGCCCAGGCGGCGCAGAGCCCGGGGCGTCTGCAGACGGGCCGCTCACGGCCTCCCATGCGGACCCAGTAAACATGTGTGCTGCAGCGTAGGAAGCGACCTGGCCACCGGGGCGGGGCCTGATCTGTGCTGGTGACAGGGGCGCTGCTCTCCGGGGGCCACAGCCCAGACCGGTGGCCGGACGCAGCAGAGGTTACCAGAGTCTGGGGTCACACGTCACAGGGCCACGCTGCCTCCGCGGTCTCTCCAGGAGGGTCCCTCCTGCCTCTTCCAGCCGCCTTGGCCCCCAGCACCCCTGGGCTTATGGCCGCATCTCTCCACCCTCTGCTTCTGTCTTCTTATCGTCGTCTCTGTGCGTCTGTCCCGAACTCCCTCTGATCCCCTCTTGTAAGGACACTCGTGCTTGTGCTTAGGTTCCCCCGGGCAGCTCAGGATAGTCTCCCCTTTCAGGACCCGGAACTCCATTGCATCTTTTGCCATATAAGGTGACGCTCACTGTCTGTATGGGGGACGCGGACAGACCCCAGAGGTGAGGGAGGGTGCTCGGTCTACGTACAAGGTGCCCCCAAACGTTCTAGTGCTGTTTATACCTTAATAACTCCAAAAGTGCGAACGCTCCAGACTTGCAGAAAACATCAATATATTTGTCTGTTTAATATTCATTCTTGTGAATTTTAGTAGCATGGTTTTAATTTAGTTTTCCCTCTCAGTCTGTCGTGGTTAAAGGTGGCAGATGTTAACTGAACACAGAGCGAATGTGCTTTGGAAGGAGCAAGGCCCGTCCCACCAGGCGCCGAGCCTGGAGGCCCCCAGATGGGTGTTTGTTGATGTGACTGTGGACAGGGTTCCATTAGGGTCAGCGGCCACCTGGGCAGTTACGGCCGGGACAGTAGTGTCCATGACACTAGGACCACGCTGCCGTAAGGACATCTGATGTTTTTCATTTTTGTGCAATTTCATGTAGGAATTTAATAACTTAAGAAAACGACATTTCACAATACCCATCTATAAATATAATTTATGAGGACAAATAGATGCAAAGGTGACGCCTGGACTGAGAGGTTCCTTATGGATCTGCTGCAAAGGGGGCCCTGGGATGTGTCCCCACATCCTCGTGTGCTGCCGTTGAAACGGGCCCCACATGTGGCCCCAGGGCCAGCTTCTGGGGAGACATGGGCCGCGCCGAGTGCATGCCGAGGCCACCCGGCCGGCCCCTGCGAGGCCCGTGTCACCGGCTTTTCCATCTTCCCCTTCTGGTGTTCCCAGCTCCCTGCTGCCGTTCGTGTCTAAATTATAATTTAGTTGGACTGAGAGGCAAGTCTCCTGCCTGCCAGGAAGCGCTGAGCCAGGGGAGGTGGCGTGGGGCCTGACGCAGTTTCTGGGCAGGTTGCGGCCGCTCCTGGCCGACGGGATCGCGGGAGCCCTGGGCGGGAGGGGACAGTGAGGCCGTGTACCCCGCGTTTCCTGGGAGCAGCCGTCCGTTTACCTCCGGGCTCCTCCCCTCTGGGCAGCTCACAGGGATCCTGGCTCAGGACAGGCGTTTGTCTCGGTGCCCTGGGAGTGGTGACGTGATTTCCAGGGCAGCACCTCAGAGAAAAGCAGGTGCCTCTGAACTCGCTGTGAGCCTCAGGCTCTCCTGCGTCCGCCTTCCAGCGCAGAGGCTCTCAGGTACGCCTTCATCACGTGTCACCTCCTCTGACCGCAGGACAACTGCCCCCTCCTGCCTAATTCCGGGCAAGAAGATTTTGACAAGGACGGCATTGGCGACGCCTGTGATGACGACGACGACAATGACGGCGTCAGTGATGAGAAGGTCAGGGGGTGTGCCGTTTGAGCGCCTGCTCTGGGTTTTGGGAGTAGAGGGTTCAGAGAGGGCTGAGAGCCTTACACTCGGCCGTCCCCGCGGATTGTCGGGGGCTGTGCTCCTGCCTCAGTGGTTGTCTCTGACAGACATGCTGGTCGTTTACAAAAGCAAGTGGACCAACCAGAGCGTGCAGCTGTCTGCGGTGCTCTGCTGGAAACGTTTTTAATAGTTTACGTTAATTGCATAAAAGGGACATGTCTGCCTGCCTTGGGATGGGCGGGGCGGTCCCCGCAGGAGCGGTGCACTTGCCTCTGTGGCAGTGCTTACACGGCACCATTTCCTGAGACAACCGCTGCAGAGCAAATGGCTTGTTGTCAGCACACAGTGCAGCGCCGGCGGGTCGCACCACGAACGTTTTTACTCACAGCTTTACCACCTCTGACGTTCCCTGACCCATCGATTGACGCTTAGTATCTATATTCCCCACGAGGTGCACGGAGTGTCACGTTAGCTGTAGGAAGTCTGAGCATCCTGACGGGGCAGGTGCCTCTGTCATTTACAATGATCTGAGCCGGGGTGTCCGGCTGGGGCTCGCCGGCTCTGCTCTGGTTCCTGGGCTCGCTCATGACCCCCTGCTCCCTCCTAGGACAACTGCCAGCTTCTCTTCAACCCCCGTCAGTTTGACTACGACAAAGATGAGGTTGGGGACCGCTGTGACAACTGCCCCTACGTGCACAACCCTGCGCAGATCGACACAGACAACAACGGCGAGGGCGATGCGTGCTCCGTGGACATCGACGGGGACGGTCAGTGGCGGGAGGGGTCACAGCCACGGCCGGGAGGGCCCGTGGCTTCGCGTCTCACTCGGCGCCGCCTGCGCGGGCCCAGCTCGTCTGGGTGCTGACGTAAGAGGACGTGGGTCGTGCTGGCTCCCAGAGCCCGGCCTCCCCAAGGGCAGCGACAGGTGGCCAGCCTCGGGACCGCCCCGAGGACAGAGCAGCTTTGCTCTTTCCGCCCCTGCCTGGCCGGCTCCTAGCACAGCCTCTGGGGCCCGGTGCTCTGGGGCCCGGTGCTCTGGGGCCCGGTGCTGCGTCTTCTAAGGAAGCGCCCGCCCCAGACACCTCCCCTCACCCAGCTGCTTCCGAGGGAGGCCTGAGTCCGCGTTCGCCTCCGTCCTGCGATGTACACGTTCAGGCCCTTATTTCTCTCCATTCTCTGAGTCATGCATTGCAAACCTCCCCCAGCTTCCAGGTACCCCCGGACCGAACCTCCGACCCCACGAGACACCCCTTTAACCCGAGGGCCCAGTGCCCCCAGGACAGCATTCAGCATGCTGGCCCCTAGGGCTTTGGCTGCTGGGCCTCTCCTTCAGACCCGACGCCTGGGATGTGCCAACGCCCCGTGTTTCTTCAGGGTCCTTTGTCACCTCCCCTGGACCCCAGCTGCCCCTCCTCCCCTGTCAACCCCCTCCTGGCCAGGACAAGACAGATGCCCCAGCCTTGTCTCCACGTTTTCCCTTTGACACCCCGCTTTGTGAGGTTGCCCCGTGTGCCTGATCACTGACAGCTGTGGTGTGGAGGTCCAGGGTTAGGTCATGTTTTTTCATAATTCCAGTCTTGGTGGAATTCATGATCTATGTTCAGGTTTCTTAAAACAAGCTATTAGGCCTAAACCCCCATCATCTCTGCCCTTGTTACTTTCCCCCTAGTGGGGGGAATGGACGACAGGGCTGTGTAACCCAAAGGCAACCAGTTCCCAGGTGCTTGGTGCATGTTTCCTGAGTGGACATTAGGGGACACACTCAGCATAGTGGGCTCACAGAGTGACCCTGGGGTGACACATTCAACAACTCCCCTCAGGCGTATTACCCCGAAACCTCCAGGAGCTGGTTCTAGTTTAAACTAAGGGTATTTAATATTAATGAGAAATTGGACATTTATGTTTCCATGAATCTAACACTTTTCACATTTTACCATATTCTTAGATCATTTTTTTTATGAAATAAAAGCTTGGTTGTAAGTTATCTGATGCGATGGGAAAAGCAAGGTGCTTTTCCTGAGCTAAGCGTGCCCCCTGTCCTGTTGGATGCCTGCAGATGTCTTCAACGAGCGAGACAATTGTCCCTACGTCTACAACACTGACCAGAGAGACACCGACGGCGACGGTGTGGGCGACCACTGTGACAACTGCCCCCTGGTGCACAACCCCGATCAGGTGATGGGCGAGCCGCCTGATAGGTGTGTCTGAGCCGGAGGAGGGCTCAGGGGCCTGATTGGCCGTGGATACGTATGTCTTTCTGGCTTTCCGTTAGCTCTGCCAAGACATGACAACATCGGCTTCACAGTAATTGTAACTGACCTCCGTTCTAAGCAGGACTCTATCTTGTGGCCACAGGCCAAGCGAGCAGCGGCCTTCGTCTCACTGTCTGAAGGGGGATTGTGTCTCCCTGTAGTGTCTCCTCTGTCTTTTCCTGACATAATCAGAGGAATTGCTTTTTTCCCAGAAGTGTCTTTGGAAGACACAGTGAGAACATAATGTAGGAAATACCACAGCAGACGATGTCTAAGGGACTTGATTCTGGAGCTGATATGTTCCCACCTTCCTTACGTAAAGCGAGCCCCTGTAGAGAGGTAGCTGGGAGGGAGATGCAGGTTCCACGCCAGTCGTGTGCAGACCGCGGTGTGACCTCAGGGAGCACCTTCCACTTGGTGTCCCAGCTGCTCACAGGTGGGACCAAGTGGTGCAGCCCAAACGTCCACAGGTGACTTTCTGTCCGGCACCCATTCCACTGGATGAATGCTCAACGCTGCCGCCCCCATGCTCTGTCTCCAGACCGACGTGGACAATGACCTCGTGGGTGACCAGTGTGACAACAATGAGGACATTGATGAGGATGGCCACCAGAACAACCAGGACAACTGTCCCTACGTTTCCAATGCCAACCAGGCTGACCATGACAGTGACGGCAAGGGCGACGCCTGCGACTCGGACGATGACAACGATGGGGTGCCCGACGACAGGGACAACTGCCGACTGGTCTTCAACCCCGACCAGGAAGACTCAGATGGTAGGTGACTGAAAGCCAGGGGCGGGGGCGGGAGGGGGTGGGAGGCTGGTTTCCTCAGATCTCTTGCTGGGCTCCACCTAGCACACATTTATGTTGACGTGTGTCCGTCCAGCGTGTCCAGGTGAGCAGAGGTCACAGCTTCTGCATAATTTTCAAAACTCTTGGTGATCTCTATGAAGAAATGCCAATGAAAGACAGAATGCTGCAGAAATCTGGTGTGGTATGACAGTGAGGGGACAGAGAGGGTTTATTTCTTTAAGAGCAAAGCAAACCAAATGGTGGGAATGGGAAATAGCCTGGAAAAGACCTGTGTCCCAGCAGTGGACGCACTGAGCTGGTCTGTGGCAGGCTGGGACCTTCGTGGGCACAGCCCGGGGTGGGCAGCAGCCTTTCCTGCTGGAGCCCCAGGTGAGTCACTGGGTCGGCGGTGCACCTCTAGGCGTCCTCAGGCTTCCGATTTCGGCTGTGACGGAGTGGCTTCCAGGCGGAGCCCGCTGACTGCACGCACGGCGTGGAGGGCACACAAACGGGGCAGCGGGTCCCTGGGTGTGTGAGCCATCATGGCTAAGGAGCCGTGAGACGCGCTGATCTGAAGGCAGCCCTGGGGCTCTCAGAGAACACGAGTCTATCCCGATGTGAGAACGGTGCGATCAGTCCCCACAGTCGCTCAGCTTGTGGAGGGAACCTGTGGTCCCAGCAGAGGCCTTGGGCTTTTGCCCGGGGAAGCAGGAGAGGCCGACACACACAGCAGCCTCTCGGTGGTTTTGTTTCCTTACACATGAGTGAGGAAACTGGAGTGCGTCTCACTGAACAGAGGGAGACATAGTGGAAGACGGTGGGGGAACGTCGGATCCTTTTCTCCTTCCAAGGCACTAGGCACTAAGCTGGGCTAGTCTGGGAAACCGTGACCTGCTGTGGGTTGTCATTATTGCCGTGAGCGGGTACAGTGATGAAGGTACAGTGTTTACTTCCCCCACATTCCCAGCCGCTCCTGCCGTTCCCACCACCTCACTGGAGAATCAGACAAGAAGCTTCTAAAATAGGAGCCCAGATCTTCTAGGGCAGCGGTTCTCAACCTTCCTAACGCCGTGACCCCTTAATACAGTTCCTCATGTTGTGGTGACCCCCAACCATAAAATTATTTTCGTTGCTACTCTATAACTGTAATTTTGCTACTGTTATGAATCGTAATGTAAGTATCTTTTTGTTTTCCGATGGTCTTAGGCGACCCCTGTGAAAGGGTCGTTCGACCCCCAAAGGGGTCGTGACCCACAGGTTGAGAACCGCTGGACTAGGGGAACCCTTGTTAGTGTGAGAATGCTGCTCTAAATGCCAAATAGACTACAGGCAGGGATGAGTATGAAAGGTAAAAACAGACGTTCTGAAAACATGAGAAAAAGCCTTCAGTCCCTGGGGTTCAGTGCCCCATTGCGAGCTCAGAGTGAGGCGGGAAGTGGCTCCCCGGGGGCGGTGACGATGGCAGGCTTCCTTGCAGTATTTGTCAGCGGTGTTGTGAAGAGTGTCAGGACTCCTCGGGCATGGAAGCCAAGAGTTCTAGAGCTTATAAGCACCAACCCGCCCCACACTGCAAGGCGCTTGCCTGTGGGTTTTTGGAGAATCACCTGGTAACTTTTCTCAGACACCGAATGGCCAATGACAAGCTGTCTCCTCTGTCCTCTTGTTTTGCCTCTTGTCCTTGGTGACAGGTGACGGGCGAGGAGATGCTTGTAAAGACGACTTTGACAATGACAGTGTCCTGGATATTGACGATGTGTGCCCTGAAAACAATGCCATCAGTGAGACCGACTTCAGGAACTTCCAGATGGTGCACCTGGACCCCAAGGGCACCACGCAGATCGACCCCACCTGGGTCATCCGCCATCAGGGCAAGGAGCTGGTGCAGACAGCTAACTCCGACCCTGGCATTGCTGTCGGTGAGCCTTCAAAGTACATGCCTGGGTCCACGGTGCCCACAGAGCATGCGGCCTCTCTCTAAAGCCACGGGGTGCCACGGGTGTGTCCTTCTGGTAGCCCAACCCTCCCTTGGTCTGCAAAACCGTCTGCCCAAATATGCTTGACAGAACTTGGGGGAGCACGCATCCCAGAAATTCCATTTTCAGGGAGCCATCTCACCGTAGGAACTTGGTCTATACATGTACGTAATACCGGAGAGCTCTGCCGTAACTCAATAAATGGGGACAAGAAAATTGAAATCCCATACATTTCATTAATCCCGCAGTCACAGGACCTGAGTGGGAGTAGGGAGGACAGCTGCCCCTTCCGCTGAGCTCCGTCCAGTGTCCAGGAGTGCAGGCGTCCCGTAAAGGCTGGTTGGGACTTACTCTTACGGCCGAATGTTCCCTGTGGCATCCAGGTTTTGATGAGTTTGGGTCTGTGGACTTCAGCGGCACGTTTTACGTCAACACCGACCGGGACGATGACTACGCCGGCTTTGTCTTCGGCTACCAGTCCAGCAGCCGCTTCTATGTGGTCATGTGGAAGCAGGTGACTCAGACCTACTGGGAGGACCAGCCCACCCGGGCCTACGGCTACTCGGGCGTGTCCCTCAAGGTGGTCAACTCCACCACGGGGACAGGCGAGCACCTGAGGAACGCTCTGTGGCACACCGGGAACACGGCGGGGCAGGTGAGGCGCACCGAGGCGGGCGGCAGGGTCTTCTGATGTGGCCTTGCAGCCACCAGGCCACATTTTCAGGGTGGGGGGGGAGTCCTAGCCCTTCCAAAGACACCCCCACCCTGGCTTCTGTTAACTGTAGCTCATCACGATGCTTTGAATGATCTTTTCCTGGGTCCCTCTCCTATTAAAGACACCATGCCTGGTGCTTGTGTAAATATGGCTGGTGATCCCCTTGCAAATGGACCCCATTTCTATCCTCTTCTAGAGGTAGGGAGAGCTGGACGGCGGACCCGTAAGGGTTCGCCCGAGGTCGCAGGCTGAGGGAGCAGGGGACCCAGTGTGTGAACCCATGAGCCTGGCTCTGGTTCCTGTGCCCTTGGCATGAGCTGCTTGTTGCCTGTCGCTGGTTTTGATCCACACACATGAGTCACAGGGGCTGATTTGCAGTCATGTCGTCATTTCCCGTTTGGTGTTGTCACACTGTGGGTGAGACTCAGTGCCAGTTGTCCTCAAGAGTGACGCTTCTCCCTCAGGTCCGTACATTATGGCATGACCCCAAAAATATTGGCTGGAAAGACTACACCGCGTACAGGTGGCACCTGACCCACAGGCCGAAGACTGGTTACATACGGTAAGGGCAGCTCGCACCGCCGACGTTTGTATCAGGCGGGTGTCACGTTAGGACGCCTTTGCACAGCATGGCCAGTTTGAGCACGAAGACTGATAAGCCAGGGTGAAGTCTGTCAGCATGTTTTTCTGTTTTTTTTTCTGCTTTAAGTGCCTTGTTTTGTCAGTCTTGCATCTTCTACTACACAGCACTTAGTTTTTAAAAAGCAAAACCAAAACTAGTGAAGAGCAGAAAATCAAACTTGTCATGGTAAAATAACTTGGGGGATGAGTGTGTCCTCCTGACGGGCGCCCTGGGCATGGGGAGAAGGCAGTGCAAACGACCTCATCTCTGCCAAATTCACAACGGCTGCATTTGGAGAACAGGTTCATGTTGGTTCTGACATGTAAATGGCTGACTTTAAAACACATCTTGGATGGAAGAAAACTTTCTTTCACAAATGTTATTGGTCTGACAGAATCTTGTTCTCTTGGTGTGACAGCATTAGTGATGGATTTTGGGTAAAACAAAATATGGACGATTTAAATTCAAGTTTTCTCATTACGTTAAACTTAGTTAGAAAGAGCGCGACCTAGGTGGGTGTGTCGTGTGTCCGGAATCATGAGCAGGTCTGAGCGGGGGTGCGGACGGGTGGCCGGGCGCGATGCAGCCACGGGAGCCCCCCTGTTGGCTCACGTGTTTCTTCCTACGAGGGCGGCCTCAGGCGTGTAGTCCCATCCTGGTCTTCATGCAGCTCAGGTGGTGGGTGAGCACGTGGCTGTCACGCCCATGAAGGCCAGGACATGGAGGGCACCGTGGGGGGACCTGGTGCCCGGGCTGAGGGAAGGCCACTGACTGCCTGGAGTGGGACTAGGAAAAGCCGCTCTTTGGCTGTCAGAGGCAGAGCCAGTGGTGAACCCCACACGGGACAAGGCTGTGTCTCTGTTGGTGGCACTCGAGGAGAACGCTGACCTCCCGCTGCCTGATGAGCGTGCTTCACAGAGGCCGCCTCGTCTCCTTTCTCCTGCCCCTGCCCAGAGTCTTAGTGCACGAAGGGAAGCAGATCATGGCGGACTCAGGACCCATCTACGACCACACCTACGCTGGCGGCCGGCTGGGCCTGTTTGTCTTCTCTCAAGAAATGGTCTATTTCTCGGACCTCAAGTATGAATGCAGAGGTGAGTGCAGGGCCAGCTGAGAACGAGATGGCACGCATACGCCTTTCCCTTCACAAAAGCTACACTTCAGGGCAATAAGCTAGTGGCCCATCCGTGGCAGATGTTTTGTTTGGTCGGCTCGAGTTGCTTTTTATTTGTTTGTTATAATTGAACGTGGATGCCTTTGGTAGAACAGGCATTTTTCCGTTATTCACAGTCCCAGCCCATCTCCACTGCACTCTGTCCTATAGCTTCCTAGATGTTCTACACCTTCAGGGCTGGAATGGAATTTTAGACTGTTAGTCTTGCTAAAAATGAAAGAAAGAAAGAAAAGGAAAGAAAGGAGGAAGGAAGGAAGGGAGGAAGGAAGGAAGGGAGGAAGGGAGGGAGGGAGGAAAGAGAAGTAGATCGGTTGGTTCTCTTTAGTTACCTCTTTATGCCAAAGCATCATAGACCCGGAAGTGAGTTTGACTCCCACCTGGTCTAATTCCGTACCTTCATATAGATGTGAAAATATCCCCTTTGTGCAGATGAGGTAATTAAAGCTCAATTATGCTTTTCAAAAATCACACATTGAAAATCGCACATCAAGTAGAGATGAAGGGAATGCAGAACATTGATTTATCTTCTTTTGTCTGGTGAAGTTTCCTTTTCCTCATGTTAAGTGACCTTTTGTGATTCCCTCCCTCCTTTCCTTCCTTCCTCCCAACTCTTCATCCCTCCTTCTATCCATCCATCCATCCTTCCATCCATCCATCCATCCTTCCATCCACCCATCCCTCCTTCCAACCATCCTTCCATCCTTCCATCCATCCATCCATCAATCCAACCATTCATACGTCCAACCCTATTGTTGTGTGTTTTTCTTTCAATTAAAATAATGTTTTAGGTTGTATGCAAAACAAGATACACTGAAACTGAACCCATGGCCCCACTGTCCTAATTCTGTGTACTGTTTTGCAGATGCGTAAACAAGATTTGCTGCATTTCCAGCCACGTACTGTAGATGCTGTTACCTAGACACCTCAGTCCACCCTGGTACTTCCGGCTTCTCTCTCTCTAGCAGCACCTGCTGTCCTTGACCTTAACTTCCATGGTTCTTCACCTCCTGTCATCAACCCCAAGCCCAAGTGCCTTCGAGGATAAAGGTTAACGGGACCCAGAGATGAACATCCAACACACTGCAGAAAAATGTTTGCCGATACATGACTTTATGTGGAGTGACAATTGACATAACATGACATTGTTTGTTTCTTGTTTGTTTAAAAAGAAGGACGTTTACATATAAAATGTAATTACTTATTGTATTTATGTGTATACGGAGTTGAAGGGAATATTGTGTGAGAGCATTCTCGTAGGTTAAGCAGGAACGATGTCACCACACTGCTGCCACTGCTCACATTTGTCCCTGATCTTGGGTCACAGCTGTTCTATAACACACAACCCTGTTAGGTCAGCTCAAGGGTGAAGTGATGTCAGAGTCAGGAGGCCAGGAGATAGCAGTCACGTGATGGAGGATGTCCCTTAACTATTTGGAACAGTAAAAACGATGCTGAGAATAAATGAGGCCCCCTCGCACCCCCCTTGTCCTATAGTGAAGACCCTCTCCCTCGGCAGAGATGCGTTTTATCAGCGAAGGAATATCCCCGCTGAACAGCTCCCACGTGGCTCAGACGTGGGCCTGGCAAAGCCCCACGTGTGACTGTTGAGCAGAGCGAGGTGCCACCACTGCGGGTGGCCACACGTGCTGTGTGGTGCTGTTATAGACCTGGCAGAACGCCTGGCCACTTGTCACTTGATTCTGCATTCTGATCACCGGAGCTGTGCGTGAGCTTCTTCCCCAAGTCTGCTCCTGGAGACCAGACAGGCAGGCAGACGGCGAGCTGGCAAACACACTTTGGCATCTGAGTCCCCGTCTAGGCTTCGAAAGCATAGGAAATGCACCCCCCCACCCAACATGGTGACATGTCTCATTAAGGTTCCAGTTATAAATGTGGTGTTAATATTTGTTAAATGAATACAGAATGCAATTCCATTCAACAATAACTTATTTTTAAAATGCCAAGGAACATGTATGTAGTATAATTTTGAGAAATAAACATAACTAGCATAGAATAATATAAAGATACAATAACAACAAAATATCTTCCTGTCAAAATACGAAGCTTTATCATTTATGTTGTCATGACAAAACATGCTGTAAAATGTAAGAGAATAAATAATAATGAAGAGTTTATAACGGAACCTTAATATATATTGTTGCCAGTGACTTTAATTCAACATTTTTTTACTGTTATTTATCTGCTGTACACAGGATTTTAAAAACCTTGCTGATGAAAAGTCAGTGCTGTCTCGCCAGAACCACCCATTAGTCAGTCATATGGTCACATACACAGGTTTGATTTATATTTTGCTGTAAGGGGGGTGATCTTTCTGCAGGAAACCTTACTCTCACTCCACATAAGGGGTTTAAGCAGAGGACTTTGTCTTGTCTGTCTGATGTGAGCAAACCTTCCTTCTCTATTAAGAGTGACTTCACTTTGATGTCAAATAGAATCTGCAACCTTCGTTTTAACGCCCACACTTCATTTGATAAAGTTGTGTTTGTTGCTTCCTTTGAGGCTGATTTTCTTTGGTGTTGCTGCACTCTCTCCTGTGAACTGCACCCCTAAGATGACCCGGGTTGGGAGAAGGCACTGAACACAAATCGTGAGGACTGTAGGTCCTGGGCATTGGTCGAAGGACAGTGGTGTGGGGTGAGGATGTGAATATTTACAATGTGCCATATTTTTTGTAAATTATTTATGTTTTTTTAAACGAACTTCTCATACAGATTGATGAAACTTCATTTGTTTTGCCAGAGACTGTAAATATTTATTTATTTGTTCACATGGTCAGCATTTCACCACTGAAACCCTGCATCTAGCTAGAGCCTCAGTTTTATGCTTTAAAGATTAATAACAGAAAATAAATTATAAAAAGGTTTTCTATAAACAAATCTCTCTCCCTTTTTTAAAAAGAATGAGAAGAGTTTCTATGGGGGGGAAGTGAAGCCCTAAAGTGGGGAGCCCAGTTCCCTGCTGGTGACGTGGATGGGGGGCCACAGGTCGCTCTGGTCCACTGTCAGCTGACATGAATTTTGGGTCCTCGGGGAGAAGGGAGCTCTTTTCATGGCAGGTGTCAGTATGTCAAACACGCATAACGGATGACACAGTCGTTAGGCAATCCGCCTTCCTGCCACTACTCACTGTCAAACAGGACAGGACCAGGCAGTGACTTTTGGCACCTCTGAGATGATTCAGAAAAAGGCAGCAACTTCAGGAGGCCTTTCATTCGTACTCACTGCGTGTCCCCTGGCCCGTCCTGTCCCCAGAGAGGAGAGGACAGGAGATGCAGAAAGGACACACTGGGAATCGTCACAGCGCAGGAGGAACAGGCTGGCTCATTGGGAGAGTGACAGCACACCTGTTCGGGGTTTCTCTGGCCGTTCCACCTGCTCGGTGGGATGCTTGAGGAGTGTGGTAGAGTCAGCTACGGGGAAACGAGAAAGAAATGCAGGCGGGGGGTTGAGGGAAAGCACGCATGTTCGGCTGAGAGAAGCCAGAATGAGTCAGACAGTGAAGCAGGGAGACGCAGGGGAGACTGCGGGGACATGGGCCCGGCTTCGATTCGGGCAGTGGGGGTGGATGGATGGGTTTTGTGACACACACATAGAGGAAAAGACTAGACCTACATATGCGAACCAAGAAGTCTTTGAAAAATTTAGAAACAAAATACTCAGGGAAGTGATTTTGGTTGGAGAGAGCTTAATATACATTTTACTCATGAAACAGAAAACATGTAACATGCGTAATAGCGATGCGTAGAAGCCAGGCATGAAAATGAGATACACTTCTCCACACATTTGGGTTTTTTGGGTCATTGATTGGAAAATATAAGCTCCCTGGCAGTGCTGTGCTCCCTCGCCATGGCCCAGTCCCCTCAGAGACGCTGTCTCCACGGCTCACCCTCAGTGTCTTCGTGACCTGACACGGGCGTGTGACGACTCCCTCCCGGCAGGGCTCTGACACGCGGGTGGTCTGGAGCCGTATGCCGCAGAGGCTGCGGTCACCGGACTCTGTGAATTTGGCTGAGGCATGGTGGGAGCCGATCCTGAAGGCACCGGGGACGAGCCAGCGTGTCCTCATAGCACGCACGCTCCGTGGGCCCAGGAGCTGGATGAGGAAGTCGCAGGACACCCTCTCTCACCAGTATCCAGAACGGGGTCTGTGTTCGCCCTGACGGAGGAGGGTTCCAACGGACTCATGGCCCTCAGTCCTCGCTGCGACCAGCATGGCCCCGTAGGCGAATGGGGTCCCTGGCGGGGTTTCTGTGGCTTTCCACGTCTCAGTCAGGTTTGGCTCAGTGAGTCTGGACTGTCATGAAGGGTGTTTTTGGTCACGGCGCAGAGTGGGCCTGAAGGGAAACGCAGGTGCTGCCAGCTCACACCTCTGGCTCTGGCCGACGGACTCCAGGTGGTGTCGGGCTCTGCGAAGGACTTGGAAGTCCTTATACTCTCCGAACCACAGCCCTGGAATCCAGTGAGGAGGTGTGAACAACTCTGGACTTTTTGGGGACAGTCCCCAGCCAAGCCAAGCCCGGCCCTGCTCCCAGGGGAGCGACTTGGCAGAGAGTGTGAGGTCCAGACATGAGGGCAGCTCACTGCCAGCACAGCTTAGGGACATCAGCTTTGGCCAGACCCATGCACTTTCCTGCCAACAGTCTGGGCCCTGAGCCACTATCTGTCAGCCCCGCAGCTGCATCCGGACCCTCATAGTCTTTGAGCAATGTGCCTTCAAGGTCTCCATGAAGGACGGATGTGGCCTGAGCCTCCTGGTGGTCATTTGGGTCCTGGTCTCTGTAGCAGGGGTTACCAGACAAGGCACCCCCATGTTGTCAAAATGCAGGGCTCAGGGAACCAAAGACACTCAGCAGCTTTGAGATCTGAAAGGGAAAGGCTGGCCAGGTAAGTGCTGCTCCCAGCAGGTGCAAACACACCTAAGAGGGGGTAGGACAGGTCGGCATCCCTGGGTGGGAGGAGACCCCTGGATGCCACCCCTGCCCAAGAGGGCATCACAGGGATGGGGGCTGGGCCGTGCATCTCATCTGTAGAGACACATGTCGAGGCACAGGGGAGGCCTGGACAGAATCTCGCACGCGTTCCACATGTGCTTCCCCTCATGTGAAGGCACCCGAGCCCGGAGGACGTGGTGGCTCTGTCCTGGATCAGAGCTGATGACAGAGGTGGCACTCTCACTGTCTTGACTGGGGCATTGTTACTCACCTTAGAGGAGAGTCATAAACTCACATCACAAATATCTTTGGACAAAAGTCCTAAAAGAATTGACAAAGACTGAACGAAGTTCTCAGGTCCTGGTGGAATGTAACTCCACAGAGACGCGTGGATGGCGGTCCAGATGGTGCCACTTGTGACAAATGCATATCACACACAGCCGTTCATCTTTGGAGGTCGTTCCAGGAAGCTGGGCATGGGAGAGGGGCCCCAGTGCTCACCATGGTGGGTCATCCAAGCCCGATCTCTCCAGGGCCATAGGGGGCACAGCAGGTCCCTTGGAAATGAAGGGGCCCCAACCCCCAGAGCTTTTCATTGTCCCAAAATTCTGGGCTTCGCTCACCAGTGGGCTGAGCAGGAAGAAGGAAGAGGAGACTGTGAGACACGGTGAGCACTTGATCGGCGTCAGAGCCGGCCCCGGACATGCAGCACAGGGTCAGGAGCGACCAGGCAGCTCCTGTGGAGATGGTCCCGCTCTGGCCCTGGGCGGGGCCGTGAGTCCGACCTACAGCTTGGCTCACAGGCAGTTCTGCTCCAAAGAGCCCGGAGTGGAGATGGAGCCTCAGCGGCGTGATCGGGACCAGCGGTGTTCTCTGGTGTCACAGTTGTGTTTCTGCCACTTTTATGCAAAAAAAGCTGGACTCTGACATACCCAGTGGGGAAGCGTCTTCCAAGGGCTCAGCGTTCTGAGTTCTAAACTGCATTTTATGTTATGTCACTGGGCTTCCCTCATGCACACAGAGAAGGGTCTCCAGTTCCCAGCAGAGGTCCCGCACCCACCATTTCCTGAGGAAGGCTGACAGCGAGAATAAGGGGACAGGAGGTGAATTCAGGGCAGGAATGGCTGTCACAAATGTGTCCCCATCAGACTCCAACCTGAGGCTCTGAATGGTGCGTGACTGTCTTTGCATAAGGGTCTGAGGGGATTTGTTCAGATAGAGTGGGTTGCTTCTAAGAAAAAAAGGAGTCTAAGGCCTTTTGCAAAACTGTGTGGAACTCAGCACAGGGTTTGGAGTGGGGGCCCTGCAGTTCCCTTCCAGTGGCAAGTCCCTCTTGCAGCCTTGTCTTCTCTCCTCCAGGATATTTGGAAGACCCGAGGGTCGCCCCACTGGGGTGAGGCGGGGTGCAGGTCTGCTGGCCCCACACTTCTCTGCAGAGAAAGGCCCATGGACACGAAATGAGAGGTGGGAGGGGCAGCGGCATTTCCAGAAGGTTCTTGGAGGAATGTGCATGACTGGGACCTGAGGGGGGAGGGGAAACAGGGGGTCAGTGCAGACTGCCTGTTCTTAAGAAGCTCAGTTGTGAAACGAAGAGGAAAAATCGATGGTTTCTTGGGAAGCCCCGTACCAAGCCAATGATATGTGAAGATGGGGTAACGTGAAGGCGGGACCGAGGCGGGTCTGAAGGAGCAGAACACGGGAATGCAACAGCAGAAACAGAGAAATGGAGGTGCTCTTCTGAGTCTGGAGAGGGGACGACAGGCTGGTCCCCAGGCAGAGAAAACGTGTTGACACTACGGAGGGCCATGCAAGGACATCCCCAGGCACGGGTGTCACCAGGCAAGGTACACACAGTCCACCCTGTCACACCTGCCAGCTGGAAAAGGGGAGTCACGATGCACTGTGTTCACGGTCTCATCCTAGGAACACGCCAGGGGGCTGGAGGGCACGGTAGGCCTACCCGTAAACTAAAGCCGGGGGGCGGGCAGAGGTGCCAGACGGGTTTGCAGGATGAGTAGAAGCTGGATTCCGGGGCTCGTCAGGGAGGTTCGTGGACAGGACTCTGTCATTCTGGACGGCCCTGCCCCTGTGCCTGTCCCTCATGGTGCTGAGCAGTAAGGTGACGAGAGGGAGCTCGCAGTCCAAGAACATTCCAGGTGGAGTGCAGCTGCATTTAAACCGTGGTTCTGTTCTAAAAGGGGAAAGCAGACGCTTCGATTCTCAGTTCTAGTAACAAAGGAGCTGGTCCACATAGAGGACATTACTTTTTTTTTTTTTTTTTTATTGACCCGAAAAGGAGGCAGTAAGTACTGGTAGCTGTAAAATTGTAAAGCAAAAATGTGAGGAGACCAGGGCCCCTGATGCTCAGCCGTGACTCTTGGGCTATTAATATTATTTCATAATCTTTTCCTTTAAAAGTCTTCCATGCATGAACAAAAAGGTTAACTTTTGTCAAAGGCAGGCACTGTTTGGTGATAAAAAAAAAAGTGCAGGTTTTGGACACAGATTTTTGGTCTGTGCGGCTGGCTGGCTGAGTCATTCAACTTTCTCATCTGTGAGGTGGGGAGACCCCGCCCCCCTGGCCGGCAGAGGCTTCCAGAGGCTCCCAGGGGGACCTCCAGTTCCCTTCCTCCACCCAACTCCTCTCTGCAAACTCAAAACCACGTTAACTGGGAACATCAGGGTTTCAGAGGCCCCGTGCCTTTGTCTGCAGCCAGAGTTTGAAAGTTTTACGTTTTGCTATTGCGTTTTTTTTTTTNTAATTACTTATTGTATTTATGTGTATACGGAGTTGAAGGGAATATTGTGTGAGAGCATTCTCGTAGGTTAAGCAGGAACGATGTCACCACACTGCTGCCACTGCTCACATTTGTCCCTGATCTTGGGTCACAGCTGTTCTATAACACAC